CACGCATATTTCTCAGATATTAGAGATATTAAAAAACAAATAACTAAAAAATTTTATGTTTCTTAAAACACAAATTTAACGTTGATTTATAAAACGAATAAAACGCAATTCGTATCGAGTATTAATCAATATTTTTAAATAGTTTTTTGTGTCACGTTCTTCCTTCGATTGGCCGTGTCTTCTTAGAATGGGAACGTTTAATTTTAGTTTCGCGAATCAAAGCGTCCTGGCGCGAGGGGAATTGAAATTACCGCGGAAACTAATGTTCTCTACTCCACCCGACAGGGCTCGATTCATTAATTTTTGTGCAAACATACGCATAACACATGGCTGCGCGCGCACATTTCTGTCGCACACAATGGAATTCCCAGCGACCTCTGGGACAAGCTTTGCCGGTTCGCCACGGTACGATAAACACTGCAAACGATAAATGCTGCATATGCTTTGATTATGATCGAAATCATTGCTATTGTTTTATTATTATTGTCTTTTTACGCGCAATTATCGATAAAATCTGTTCCCTCTTTTGCATCTCTTTCTGAATAATTGAAATTGAAGAATAGAGTTTAGGATTATATTAAATAGTATTATTCATAGATTGATATATTCCTTTATATCTTTATGTTATGATAAAATTTTAAAATATCCTTGCTCCTTACGAACGGAATAAAAAAATTACTTCAAAATCTAGATTCCAAAAACCTTTTGTCTAACAAGACCCATAAAACGCAAACTTTGATTACGACTATCTAAAAAAAAATATCAAAGAAAAATCGTAAAAAAAGAGTATTTCTCCGAGAATACTTACTTTAAAAAGTTTCTCGCTAACAATGATCTGCACTTCGAGTCTACGTTCAAAAAGAGAAGAAAAAAAAAAAAAAAAAAAAAAAAGAAAAAACTAGGAATAAAAATAAAAAATGACAAAAATCACGAGAAAGCGGATCGACGTATTCTGTGATCTGATTTTAAATATTTCACGCACGTCTCGATTTTTATTTTTATTTATTCCCAGTGACAGCGCATAATCCCTCGAGCGTTTCGATTTCTCTCGAACACTTTCGTTGCAGCACGCGCGCTCCTACTTCGGCACGAATTTTTCGCGGAGGCTTTTTACATGGTGCTCGATGATCCCTCTGCCGTCACCGTTGGATAATCGGTTTCTCGAGTGCGCACGAGTGTACACATTACGGTAACTTTCGACGTTAGCGATGCGCTTTGTGCATAGGCACGAGTTCGCTGGCTAAAATTTGTTGAATATTCCATGATCCCGCGATACTTCCTCGCGAGGATGGGACGAGTTCTCGTGAAAGGCGACCCATTTATGGCGTCAAGGAGGAATGCACGTGCGTGAAACTGGGCCTCGACACTTGGGATACCGCTTTAGGACTGTTCCATTGGGATTTTCGAACAGAAACGGACATGTAACTTTGAATTTTATCTTGAATTGTGGATGAGTTTTATGCGATCAAGCAAAGTCAAGAATACACAGAGAGGTTAAGTTATCGTATTGACTGGACTGGACACGTCCATCTTTATTTTTTTCTCTCTTTCTTTCGTTTCTTTTAGTTTTTATTGAGTTCAATAATAGAACTTGTTGGAATAGTGTGTTTATAGAAGAAGGAATAGGAAATTTAAAATGAGCGAAAGTTTCTTGCAAAGGTTGCGACGAACGTTTAAAGTGATTATTGATTCTATATCATTTTATGATTTTATCTAACATGGATTATAATTTATCGAGAGAATAATAGCTTTTACGAAGAGGATACTCGAGTCGGATTAACAGAATCGATGAAACGATAAAACTGGGTCAAAAAGTTACATTATAACTCTTGAAACATCAATTTCCTTTTATAACGTAAAACATTGTGCGAAACATTGTGCTTGATAGTAGCGATAATTAATTAAAACAGAATACAGATAAAAACAATGTAATATTTTTTTAATTGAATTCGAAACAAGTTCTCTCTACATTTTTCCAAATAATTTTTCATAACAAATTTATATCGTAATTTTATATATATATATATATATATCGATAAATTTTAAAGAACTTTTCGAGGTTACGAAATCCTAACTTTTACTTAAGTTCGTGAATTCTTGGAACGAGTTAATGGTTTCAAAGTTTTAGCCGTTGCTGCACACCATTAGTACCGAAAGAATTAATCATCTTCTCAAGAACAAAAAAAAAAAAAATTGAACTTCCTAATCCATTACCAACTTCATGACGGAAGATTTCCCTAATTATTTCTATTAAAGAAATGAACTAAAAAGCTATATTCATGAATTTAATAATATCCATTTTCTAAATATACACAAATATATTTTAACATTATGTATTTAACATGAAATATTAATACATCAATAATAAGAAAAAAGAGATAAGTCCTACTTATTTGTCAGTTATTCGGTTAATCGATTTAAAATAATTTCCAAGAAATATTCGATTATATATATATATATATATATAGTATTGATTTCTTTCTTGATGCAAAGTGGAATAGCGACAGTATTTTCCACTTTGTTAGCGCAAGCGGGAACGGCTGCCAACATACGGAATATAAGAGAGGAAACGAGTTTTCTCAGCAACATTCAGCCTTTTGTCAGCTCCCACGACTTCTCGTGTCCACGCTTCTCATCGTCGTTGATCATTCCGACTAGATTCCATTGCACTTTTCCACGGTAATTCTCTCCATTCGCACACTCTTCTTATTCTATTCCATTTTCTTCTCTCCTTTCTTATTTTTTTTCTCTCTTTTTCTCTCTCTCTCTCTTGATATTTAAAAGTAAATAAATGGATTTCTTTGTAGAAATTTTATTTCGTTTATTTCTAATTATATTTTTATTTCTAATTATATTTGTTTCCGTCTATTTGTTGTTCTTTTTTGAATCACCATTACGTTTATCTATGATAAATCTAGGGACAGATAGATCTTTTTATTTTGCTCAACCATTATTCAATTTTTTTTCTACTTTTTACAAAAACAAAAACTGTGATTCGTTCTACTTCCGTAATTCATCCTGCCACAATAGTGGTAATTTACGAAGGTTTATTGTTAGATAAAACATTTTTTCGCTTTGAAAAGAAAATACAAAAAAGTTTGTATTTGAACAAAACATTTACGAAACTCTTATTTTTTTTTTTTTTTTATATAAAATTTTTTTAAAATTGGATAAAATTTAAAGGAAAAGCAAATGGTATGATTAACCACACTAAAAAAAACTCTATAAAACATTTTCATTGGATTCAGTATATCGTATTATAAAACAAAATCCAAAGAAATTCAAAATAAATAATTTTTTCCTCTTTTTCCTTTTAATACGTATAGCTTATTTACATCGTTGCATGTGTCCTGGCGGAGGCTTATTCTTCGTTTGATCTTTCACATCTCTCTGTTTCTCGTTTAATGTTCTATTCCGCGTATCTCCTTTTGTTTCCCGCCCCAGGTGATTGTTGTTGTTCCACTCGGTTTCTATTTTTCTTTTCTCCCGGTTTCCGCTTCCCTCCCTCCCCCACTCCTTCACCCCTAACCGTTTCGCGAGCTTTCGTTAATTTCCCTGACGCGTATTTTCACCAGTACCACCGAGTGATCTCACCCCTCAGCATAACCTTATCTCAGTTGTACATTGACCTTTCGGCCTGAATCCTAATGCATATATGCATGCACACATCGACTCGAAATAAAGGGCCCCCTCCCCTCCCCTTCCTGTTTCTCCTCCCTTTTTCTTTCTCTTTCCTTCACCTTTCTTTCGACCCGGCTCCTGTCTCTCCCCCTATCCGTTCTTCCGAGTATCGTTAACGAAACCACCGTGTGAGAGTCGATTTTATCTATCGACAATGATTTCGACCAAGAAGATGTGTAATTAGCCCATAGGAGACGGGCAAAATTCGCAGGCATAGGAAAGTGTCTACCTCGTTTCCTTTTGCATAATAAATAAAATTATTTCCTTTACTGGATTTATTTTTTCTTCTTTTTTTTTTTTTTTTTTTTTTTTTCTTTTAGTTTTGTTCTCTGATGAATGATTATAGTCTATAGGATAATTGTTGTTATGATTTAAAAGTATTTTTTATCGTATTATATAGCGCGAGGATTTTATTTATCGATAATAAAGCAAATCGATTTGTAATTAAGAATACCTCATAGAAGGTAGATAAAAATTATATATGTGTAATTAGTCACGTAAAAATCGATTTAAAAGAAATAAAAGAAAATTGGTATAATTTTTAATTTACGTAGGTTCGTAAAATTAACCAATGCGCAACGCGACACGAATAAAATGGTTCCTTCGAACTCATTAATTACAACGTAAAAAACGCTGTGATCCTTTTGCCTCTAATTGCCACGAACGTAAAGGAAATATTCGAATATTCGAAGTGAAACGAGATAGCATGTTTTTATCCCGCGAAATTGATAACTTTATCCATCGACCCGGAAAAGAGAAAAGCTCCTGAGGATTTGAAATGCTTGATATCGTACTCGTTTTGTCTTTGTTGCTTCGATCGATTTCCGTCTAAATATTTATTTATTACGACCAGTGGTAATTGCCGAGAATTATCGTTTCCTCCGTGGCTCAAGATCGCCGTGGTGGTCTTTACGCAATTCATCCTGTTTCGATAAATATGTAAAGTTTTATGGCATGTATAATACACGAAATAAAAACTCTGTTTCGAATAAACGATATAGATAATATCTTAATTCTCTTTGACAAACGAACGCAATAATAAAAAAATATTAATAATTATAAATAAAAATTATTAAATTTGTAAAATTAATTATCAATCTAAGTTGTAACTCAAGATTAAATTAGGTTATGTTATGAAAGACAAAATTTATAAAGAGAATATTAGTTTAAGACATATTATTATTATTAGATTTTGAGGAGAATATAACATAATTTTCGTAATATTAGCAATAAAAATATAAAGTTTAATTCTTTAAAATCTTAAAGAAGGATAAAATAAATCTATATTTAAGTATATTTGATTTTAAATGTTTCTTTACCTCGAGAAGAGCAGTCAGCAAGCAAACTCCAAACACGGCAACGATTAATCTTCGAATAGAAAACATTCTTCTCGTCTGCTTATCGTTCCTTCTCGATACGTTTTACGTCGAAGTTGAGATATTAGCTAACAATCGCTTACAGCATCCAATGCGATTCCTTGCAGGTGCACATCAATCACAAACACCGAATCGAGAGTTCCGTTCTATTTTCGAATGAGACGATTAAAATCCGATTTCCACGGTCCACGACCCGGCTATGTGATTATATGTTTTATCGATCGTAACAGACTTAGTCTTTGGCTGGATTGAAATCTCACAATCGATCGTACGATTTGTTGGATCGAATCTACGATACGATATATGTATTAATGAACTAAATTTTCACAAATGACTTATATTAAGATGATTTAAAATAAGTTTATGAATTCTTTTGAAGAATTTAAGAATAATGATTGATATTATTATTTCTTGTTTTTAACGAATAAAGATTTGCACTTCAAGACTTCACGAACTAAAGATCCGACTTCGACGGAGGCTGAGCGTGAATTGAGGGAACAGCAACAGTGCAGCTGTTATTGTTGAACACGCGCTCGATCACGTGGCTGTCTCCCACCACCGCATTTCGGCATCGTAGGGATACACAACTTAAACGATCGGTTAAATTAATATTTGTGATTAAGTAAATTAAAAAATCTTGACACTTTTTAAAAGAATAAAATTTATATCTATGTATTAATGATAATGTATTGTCAAGAAATGAAAATGAAAACAGATTGTTTATATATAAATATTATCACTTTGATTTATGAGAATTATGAAAAATAAATATTAAAAGTATCTTAAGTTTAGATGAAGAATAAAGCAGAGTAAGGTAGAAATTCAGATTCTGGAATGATTAATTTCAAAATAAGAGAGAAGTTAATATCGAGATAACTTGAAAATAAATATATAATATAATAATTTAATAATAATAATTTAAATTGGTACACAACAATAGAACTTCGATCTTATACAAATAATTTAAATTTTGTTATGTTATATTTAAAATTAATTATGCTGCAAAACGTATTCAAAAGTTTGAAGCCATGTTGAAAAGTTTCCAAGTAATTAAACGTGAAATTTGAAACCTACCTGCACGTTCCACAACTTCGCAAAAAATACTGGATTTTTGAAGAGGTGTTTCGGATATTTGATGCTGCCACGCGCCTGTAATAAGTTTTATATCATGTGTACATAATATCCTATATATAAGAATATATCTTACTCTATTGTTTATGCAATATTTTTATATTATCTATAGATTTTACTATTATTGATCAGGGTATTGTTATTTTCATTTTTCCAAACATTTCATTAAAAACTAGCACCAAAAAATAAAGAAAATACGCATTATAACAAATTAAATAGATTTTAACAATGAAAATAAAATTTATAGGCTATTGGGTATAATAATAAATGTAAGTTTTTTTTTACTTTTTTATTTATATTTCTTTATTTATTTTTTTTTCTATTTTAAATAGATATTCTTATTCGTCGATGATTATTGAAATTATTATCATAAAAGAAAAAAACTATTCAATATAAAATAAGATATTTTTCGATCAACATACGGATTTTGTCTAAAATCGATCAACGATGATCAATTCCTTGGACGCATATAGGTTAGAAAACAATATGTATTAGGCTCACTCGACCGTTTAATAACGAAATACAATCTACATAGAAAATATGTAGACTAGGAGAGTGATCGAAAGATTGAAAAATCTGTGGATTGTGATGGCAGGCGGTGAAGAAATTTGAGAACGAAACGCGCACGGTCCACGCGGAAGATAGAAAGTAAATTCGTTGATCTGTATTATCGTCATCTCGAGCAAAGACGATCAGTTACCTCAGCTGCGGTAGCAGCTGACAAACCTTCTGCCGTGGCAGCTTCGTTGTGAATATCCACCGGTGGATATTTTCTGGTGGACAGGTGCTTGCAATCTGCTCGTACGACAGCCGGCGTTCGTGACGATTCTTGCGTAGCAACAAATAAATCGAATTATTTAATATCTGACAAATATATGAATCGACGATTAATTCTTTAAAAAGTCACTAGTATTAGATATTCTTTTATATTTAAAATAACCTAGATTAATAGTAAACTTCGTCTATGATAATATCTTCGTAAAACATAAAAACTTAGAAAATTTTATTTCGAAATTTTTAACATTGATCGAAAATCGATGAATAATAACATTCATAATGAATTAATCAACTGCTAATAATATTTAAAAAAATGAAAAATAGCTGAATAATAATAACTGAAATAATAATAACAAAAGATCTAATCCAGGTGTTGATTCTATGATCTCTATAGACTGACTGTTTTCCATGCATAAATAATAACTACATTGAACGTATTATATGATTGCATAATATGATTCGTATTATATCAACTATCTGTTATTGAATGAATCGAGATATTGCTTCATTTTATCTTAAGATATTATTAATCGAAATATGAACTTAAATATTTATTGAATATCAAACAAAAAAGATTTTTCATAAAGAAATAGAATAAAGAAACTGAAAATATGAATTTGGTCTTTTTTCTTTGTGCATGATACCATAATGATTATATAAATTAATATTTTTTAATTAATTATTAAGGTTCCAGTCTAATTGTACACTCGAGCACAGACCAGTTCTGTGTATCTGCAATATCAAAATAATTAATGATTCTTTGTATTGCACCTTCGTGCATTAAATTAACTTTACTGATTTTTATTTGTATCAAAAGTATCTTGTCGGTAATATGTACTAAAATGCTACAAATGAAACAAAAAAAGAATAGCAAATAAAGAATAGAAATAGGATAAAGCCATCAGCGCCATCTCTTGATATCTTTTCGAAAATAATTCTACAAGCAATAGATAATAATTGAAGTTGATTTTTTAAATGATTAGTATTTTCGCATTTTTTAAATTTTTATTATTAATTTATTTGCTCTTTTATTAACAATTTATTATTACAATAAATATAATAATTGATATATATTCTTATAAATTAAAATTATATTTATTGTTTTATACTATTAATTTTTAATTTATAATTATCAAAAAAATATTTAAAATATTCTAATTGCGATTTTATATAAAATTATAAAATAATAATATGAATAAATATTTAAAATTTATTCTCTATGTTTTTAAAATTTAATTTAAATACAATTTCAATTCATTTGTTTTTATATACATTTAAATAATAAAAAATTACCTTATATAGTAAAATGCAAGCGACTTATCGTTTATAGATAATGATCCAACAACAGTTATCCGTTCATAATATCGATGAAATATATCAATATTTCATAAATAAAATTACAAAATTATCACACATACTAATAAATAACTAATAAATATACTTAAAACACTTATGAATCATACATGCATATTTTAAATAATAAAATTCGTGTATTAATATAAATTATATATGAAATTGAACTCGAGTAATCTAAACGATATCGCAGTTGCAACGGAACTAAACTTTTGTAGTTTTTTTCTCACTCGGTAACTTTCACTCAGTGGACAAGATCGAACGTAGTAACTATTTAAAAAATATTAGATAATTTTTAATAAACTTCAAACGAATATTTTAAAATATGATATATTTAAATGTTATAATTTTCAATATTCTATTAATACTTTATTAATTAATTTTGTAATTTGTTTATTTAAGAGTCGTATAATGATTTTTGATATTACGATTTATTAAATTTATTAACTTTATAAAAATTTTTTATTTATAATATAATTTATCATTTATTAAATTTATTCTTTTTAAAAAAATGTATTATTTTCAATTTTAAAATCATTTTAGAAATATTTTTATATTATACTTTTTATGTAATAGAGAATGATAATAGTTATTAAATTATATATTTTTATCTTGTTTAATTAACTTCTTGAATATGTAATAACAATTAATATTTTTATTTGTTTAGAAATCATCCGATAAAAATATACGATTTCTGTCGATATATTAATATTTTGCAATTTATTTATAACTTCATATTAAAATTTAATTTCAATTTCAACTATTAATTATAGTTTTGCAGTAATACTGCAATCACAAACGAAGTATTATGACAAATCGATAACATTAAAAATAATACTAAAATGGTAAGGGGGCTCTGGAGTCTTTTAAACATGAGCATTGATATAAAAATACAATGAATGTTAAATCTATTTTATATCTTGTCTATGCTGTCTATTTTACATTTTATGAATGTAATTTCTATATGGCAAATACTGCCATCTATGTACATTTTATCGGTAGTTATCATTTAACCATAGATGAATTCGTTTAAAATTTAATTTTTAAATTTATCAATAAAATTAATTTTAAATAAGAATTATAAATTCTTAGCAAAAATGAAATAGTGAAAAGAAAATTTGTTATGAAAAACATAATATTTATGAGTATCAAAATTATTTAATTTTATAAATAAAGAATGATAGATGAAAAAATGTTGTTACCGACTTGAAATAGTTTATCATCTGTCTATTACATACTCAATGCCTTTGTTAGAATCATTTGTAAGTTCATACGCGCGGTAGGTACTACCCTCTGCTGTCAGGTATTAAAACGGGGGTGTGAGAGTGAGCTGTTTCTCGACGTCGGCTGATCAGCTGTGCGATTTGAGGTAGATTTTCCCCTTGTGGTGTGGTGTCGTGCACATTCAGAGTCTTACGCTCGATCGGCATAGATCTGTGAGATCACGTAACAAGCATAGAATTCGAGTCGTGGCATAAATACAGCAACGATAGTACGCGGTGGCGGCGATAAATCGGTAGTATTTTCTTGTGAAGGGGGCCAAGTGAGGCATGACGGGAACAGGTGACAATAGAGCTTCGCCATGTTAGATTTTACGAGATCGCGAAACGTGCGCCGCTGCTGCTGCTGGTGCTAGTGGAGAGAGAGAGAATTTATTTTGTTTTCTCGACTCTCGTGCTACTTTCCTCAGCGGTGATCCAACTGAAAATCATCCAAGCTGGATAGGTTACCCGAGTATCTCCGCGATACCGTGGACTGGTTTATGGGGTAAGTGTTTTCGAGTGAAATTTTCACTTTCGGCAACAATTTTTTCGACAATAAGAATTATCGGAGTCACGGAATAAAGGTTAACCTCGATGTTCGGCCTAACCTCCCCGTCGAGATTGACGCTCTTTCGCTCCGGTACGTTACTTTGCCTCGCTCTTAATAATCGTCTTGTCTTTTCCCTTTTTCTGAGAGAAAGTAATCTCCGAGACTTTCTGTGTCATCGCGGAATTGTGTCGTGCATTTCTATATACGATGTCATCTAAAATTTCGTCCGCTACTGTCCTGAAAATAACGCGTGGATAGAATGTTGAGTGCACAGTGTTTCCCTTTTTCGCTTTTCCGTTTTCGTATTTATAAAAATTGCTGACAATGATGACAACGTCGATTATTTCGTCGATTATTCAATAAGGTTAACAAAAATCGCGTAT